CACCTGCACCACCTGACGCCACCTGCACCACCTGACGCCACCTGCACCACCTGACGCCACCTGCACCACCTGACGCCACCTGCACCGTGGGATACTTGGTGGAGGCCTCCCCAGGGGGGATATACAGAGACAAATATCAATTAGACGAGTGTCGTCACCATAACAACAGTTCTCGAACCAACCCTTTCTCGGAGAACCCAGTCTCTCACTCCTGCCCCCTCCCCCAAGCCACCCCAGTTACTCCCGTCACAATTTTAGACGTTGCGCGCTTCAAGCCATTCCAAACTCCCGGGCCTGAGACCGTCAGGACTCACCCATATTGTCGCCGGCCTACCCCACATTACTAGGCCCAAAATCCCTATTCACACCACCATTCCCTCATGCAACACCACCCCATTATATCCTCCCCCCCCCCCCCCACACACACACACACACACACACACACACACACAGACACACACACACACACACACACACACACACACACACACACACACACACACACACACACACACACACACACACACACACACACACACACACACACACACACACACACACACACACACACACACACACACACACACACACACACACACACACACACACACACACACACACACACACACACACAGACACACACAGACACACACAGACACACACACACACACACACACACACACACACACACACACACACACACACACACACACACACACACACACACACACACACACACACACACACACACACACACACACACACACACGCAAATAGAGTGGTAGACGGTTGGAACAAGTTAAGTGAGAAGGTGGTGGAGGCCAAGACCGTCAGTAGTTTCAAAGCGTTATATGACAAAGAGTGCTGGGAAGACGGGACAACACGAGCGTAGCTCTCATCCTGTAACTACACTTAGGTAATTACACACACACACACATCAACACCAAGAACAACAACAATCACTACCGTTGGTGATGGCGTATGATGCTATGTGTCTAAAGTCGTCGCAGGTGGAGTCCAGGACGGCCAGGTCGGCGTCTTCCCCCGGCAGGAGACTTTGGCAGGTCGTCCGCGCCTCTGACCAAGTCGTGAACATCATATTGTAGTAGTAGCAGCCCTCCCCGATCTTGACGAAGGGCGTAGGGCAGGAGGCTGTACCTGCAGCACCCACACCAGGAGACATGAGTGAGATGGTTGTGCGGTAGTGTGGAGGTGAAGAGGAGACGGTTTATGGGTTGTGTTGACGGTGTGGGGTGTGGGGGTGAGAAGGAGAGGTTTTAGGGGTTGAGGTGACGGTGTGGAGTGTGTGTGGGGATGAGGTGGAGAGGGTGTGGGGTGTAACCTAACTCTAAGGTATTGCTAAGTAAACAGAAGCCAAAGGAGTAAGGAAACGTTCCCAAACGCTTCGCGTTGCCCCGGTAATCGAACCCAGGACCAATAGGTAGTGAGCCGACTGCCCTATAGACACACTACAAATACTCTACCCTCCTGGGCTCCAACCAACAACATAATAACACAACGTACTGTACTAGCTAAACCACTTCAAACCCCCATTTTGTAGCGTCATCAAATACCCGACACGCTACCTACAGTCTCCGGCTTGACGCCGCCTTCTTAACATAATTACTTGTATCGTCTGTCTTGCTGCAGTCAGCACTACCTTGTTCTGACACACTTACCAGCGTCCCCCTGTGTCAGGAGGCTGATGATCACCATCACTGCCCCAAACATGGTGACCTCGGGTGGTGGTGACCTCGGGTGATGATGACCTCAGGTAGTGGTGACCTCGGACAGTTGTAACCAAGTAGTGCTCCTAATAGCGTGGTGTGTGAGCAACAACTTGTACCAATAAACCAGGACGTGCGTGTGTCTCATGGTGTGTGAGGAGAACCTGGACCCAGCCGGGGACGACAGGGCCCCCAGCGCGGACCTGTCATACTGTCTGGGAACCGTCACCTGTCTCGCACCCTCGCTGATTGTATCATACACTATTGTTTTATTTTGTTCTTGCTCCATATTACCTTTGTTCCCTGGATTTTTTATAAGTAATTTCAATGCTCTATTTTTCACTGTTAGTACACAAATAATTTTACTGGAGTAACCGTTCCAAGAATTGTATATATTGCATTGCATGTTGATGTTGTTCTGTGAAGCCTTTCTTGTAGTTCTTGCCTTGACATTGTGTTGCTGGGAGGGTGTGGCAGGGATTTGTTGCTGGGGGGGGGGGGGGTGTTGCTGGGAGGGTGGTGCTAGGAGGGTGGTGCAGGGATTTGTTGCTGGGGGGGGGGGTGTTGCTGGGAGGGTGGTGCAGGGATTTGTTGCTGGGGGGGGGGGGTGTTGCTGGGAGGGTGGTGCTAGGAGGGTGGTGCAGGGATTTGTTGCTGGGGGGGGGGGGGTGTTGCTGGGAGGGTGGTGCAGGGATTTGTTGCTGGGGGGGGGGGTGTTGCTGGGAGGGTGGTGCTAGGAGGGTGGTGCAGGGATTTGTTGCTGGGGGGGGTGTTGCTGGGAGGGTGGTGCAGGGATTTGTTGCTGGGGGGGGGGGGTGTTGCTGGGAGGGTGTTGCAGGGATTTGTTGCTGGGGGGGGTGTTGCTGGGAGGGTGTTGCAGGGATTTGTTGCTGGGGGGGTGTTGCTGGGAGGGTGTTGCAGGGATTTGTTGCTGGGGGGGGGGTGTTGCTGGGAGGGTGTTGCAGGGATTTGTTGCTGGGGGGGGGGTGTTGCTGGGAGGGTGTTGCAGGGATTTGTTGCTGGGGGGGGGGGTGTTGCTGGGAGGGTGGTGCTAGGAGGGTGGTGCTAGGAGGGTAGTGCTGGGAGGGTAGTGTTTGGAGGGTGGTGCTAGGAGGGTGGTGTTAGGAGGGTGGTGCTGGGAGGGTGGTGCTGGGAGGGTGGTGCTAGGAGGGTGGTGATAGGAGGGTGGTGCTGGGAGGGTAGTGCTAGGAGGGTGGTGCTAGGAGGGTGGTGTTAGGAGGGTGGTGCTGGGAGGGTAGTGCTAGGAGGGTGGTGCTAGGAGGGTGGTGCTGGGAGGGTAGTGCTAGGAGGGTGGTGCTAGGAGGGTGGTGCTAGGAGGGTGGTGCTGGGAGGGTAGTGTTAGGAGGGTGGTGCTAGGAGGGTAGTGCTAGGAGGGTGGTGCTAGGAGGGTGGTGCTAGGAGGGTGGTGCTGGGAGGGTAGTGTTAGGAGGGTGGTGCTAGGAGGGTGGTGCTAGGAGGGTGGTGCTAGGAGAGTGGTGCTGAGAGGGTAGTGTTAGGAGGGTGGTGCTAGGAGGGTGGTGCTAGGAGGGTGGTGCTAGGAGAGTGGTGCTGAGAGGGTAGTGTTAGGAGGGTGGTGCTAGGAGGGTGGTGCTAGGAGGGTGGTGCTGGGAGGGTAGTGTTAGGAAGGTGGTGCTAGGAGGGTGGTGCTAGGAGGGTAGTGCTAGGAGGGTGGTGCTAGGAGGGGGTGGTAGGAGGGTGGTGCTGGGAGGGTAGTGTTAGGAGGGTGGTGCTAGGAGGGTGGTGCTAGGAGGGTGGTGCTAGGAGGGTGGTGCTAGGAGGGTGGTTCTGAGTGTTTCAGGGATTTGTTGCTGGGAGAAGTCCCAGACCAACAGCCCCACCACCAAGGTAGTCACAGTAGACCCGCCATAACTACCATGGGAGTCCCACATCAAGTGCTTTACTTCTAATAATTAATTATGTTATTAGGAAACGGGACAGGAATAGACGGAATTGTATTTTATTCAGGTTGTGTTCCGGATAGTAAGAATGATGCTGTTGCTAAATAATGTTGCTTTAATGAAACAACATTATACTGTGCAGTGTTCTTGTTCACTTGTGAGTGTTCAAGCGGGGGCTGAGCAGGTGAGGCAGTGTTACGAACCCAAGTTCATCGTCAGAGCACGGAGCAGTGACGTCAACGCCATCTGTGAGTCAGCTCCCGAAACCCCACGAAATGGACGACGCCATCTAGTGGTGGCAGGAATATGCCAGCTAGACATGCTAGATTCTTGTCCTGGTAGCTCGTGAGGTAGCTAGTGCTGACCTCTGGTGAGGTAGTGCTCAGAACATCAGCGCCATCTATTGAGCTAGAAGCTGTACGTTTGTGTCTAGGCCAGTAAGTGACGTTTCCTAGTGGTTCCCATGTAGTGTCCCAGTACTGATGACGTGTCTGCTTTCACAGCGTCAACATAGGGCTGCTGTGATGTAAGAAGAGTCAGTCTACCCAAGGCAGCCAAGGTCTCTTCACCAGTCTGCTTTGCAGAAGCAGTGAGCCGTCGCCGGACGAGAACTGTAGAATGTTCAACTGTCTGCCTGAGGAGTGGCTGTGACGGGATTTGCCATACCCGGGGCTGGCTGGTGGAAGAGACGGCCGACTGTGGTGCCGAACGAGGAGAGTAACCAGCGATTTACACGAGACTTCTGCCTAGGGCTCGCAACCCTAGTATTCGCTCGTGAAGTGGCCTAACAGCGTGAGGCTGATTGGTACCTGCCAGCTACAGGCTGGACTGTGGTTGTGGGCTTTCACGACGAGGCACCTAGTGGAATTGAGACTTGGCGGGCCTGTGGCCAGGGTAGACTCATCGTGGATTCCTGGTACTTGCAAAGGGTAGTGCCCCAAATAGGAAACCAGGCAAGACTGCACAGAGTGAGCTTCGCCAAGTGTTCAGCGTCTTCAGAGTGAGACAATGATGTACATTGTGTAGTGATATTTCCCGTTTATGACTCTTATATATATCTATGGTGGTGGGAAGACTAATTATACATGGTATAAAGTGACGAACTTGTGTGTTTAATGTGCCTCCCCTTTTCATTTTACTTGCATTACTGAGCTCACCCCTTGAAATCCTTTACTAACTTGGGGCCGGATACCCAAACTCTAATACCACCAGAAAAGAACCTGGTTGCGTCCCCATAAGGGCCGTAACAGGCAGGACTGGAGAAACGGTTAACTACGTTATAGTTAATGTTTATTAATAACCTCAACAATTATTAATATTTGCAACACTTGACACCCTTATTATAGACTTTATCTTTTTATTTGTGACCTTTTTGTTGAATATATGACTTTTCAAACTGCTCTCTTGATAGGACACATCATATAAGTTATCACGATAATAGTCTTTATGTACAATTTCTGGACTGTTTTTATTTGTATACATAATGGTTCAGATTTTATGCTAATATATATAGAGAGTTTAGTCACACAGCAGACACCAAATCCAAGTCTATTTCAATGCTTGGACACCCAGCTGGCACATGAAGGGAAAGGCATAATGACAGTCGTTGGTATATAAGCGCATCCTCGTGACGAATTCTAGACCATAAGCCATGAAGACGCAGTTCTCATCGTTGGCAATTGTTGGGTATCCGGCTTTCCAGTAGTGACTCGTGAGGTCTACGGGGCGTCCATCTACCCATGCCCAGTAGTCCTGGAGGTTCACTTTAGCGGCGCCAACCCAAAATGGCTTCAGGCCTGAGGGAGAGAAGGTGTTGAGGGTGTTGAGGCAAGCATTTCACCTTGGGAACTCCCGACTTGATCATATGAGAGGACAACGTGGCCGTCGTTGGAAGCAACAGTGTGTTAGCTGATGGACTCTTATAGTGTTGTATGGACCGACGTACCTGGGACTGCTGTGATGGGAGTTGAGAGAGTCTACCCGAGGCAGCCGTCTCCATACCTTGTACTTTGCTGCAGCAGTTGTGAAGTCGTCCCCCCAGAAGAACACTGTGGTGTGTTAGCCTGCCAGTGGAGTGGCAGTAAAAGGATTACCCGGGACCGACTGTTGGAGACGATCATCCACTGGGGTACTGAGGACAGGAGAGTGATTTGTGGTGTCACACGAAGCTCCTGTCTAGGGCGTTCCCCTTATATCGTTCGTGGAGTGGCCTGACCAGCGATGCGGGTCCGGAACCTGCCAGCAGACCGGCTGGATTTGTGGTTGACGGCCTCCACGGCGGTGCCCCCAGTGGACCTGTGTTTTGGCTGACCTGTGGCCAGGGTAGGCTCAGCTTCTCAGAAGGATTCGTTGTGAGGCCACGAAGAAGCACCGAGGACTCAGCACCGAGAGTTTTGGCACCAGAGTCTTCAGCAGAAGACAACGATTGTGGATAATTCCCCTGTAAATAAGTGTTTATACCCCTCCCCCTGTGCACTCTTTTATATCTTATTTATTTATTTGGTGACGGTGAATTATAATCTTAAGTTCTTAACTTTCTTTCCCTTCCCCCTTTAAGTTACTTGCGTCACGGATCACATCCCTTGATAGCCACTACTGGCTTGGGAACGGATATATATCTTCCTCTAACAACATCAGAGTAAGAACCCCGTTGCGTCCCGAGAGGGCCGTATCATAATTGGCTCCCCTTCCTGAATCTAGGTCCGGGACCTAGATTCAGGAAGCTCTGTGTATTTCTTCGTAAGTGGGTTTGCTATGAAGGTTCCTAAGTGCACCCTAAGAAGATGCTTAGGTGCGATTCAATAAGGTATACTTAGGAAGAAAATTGTTGGTTCACCTGCGTGCCGATAGAGGTCACTACTGTGTTTCGTTTGGCCAATCAGAGAGCAGCAACATTCTTCATATTGAAGATTTAGCGCTGGCTTATCGGAGCTCTACTGCCTCCTATTTACGTCGAATTTTCTTATAAAATTAGTATATTTCGAAGTAAAACAATGTTTTTTCAACTTCTACAGCCAGCACCGACATTGTAGTAAACAAATATGTTACATTTGTTGTTTACCTACGTAATTCTAAGAGATACTGTGTAGCTGTCCTTGTTGCTCGGAAGATGCGCTGACAATTATTGTATATATTTACTGAATTTACCCAAGGGCCACTAACTATCTAGTGACCTCGAAGAGGACAGAAAGCCGGCGGCTTGTTAAAGGGCCCGCCAATTGTCTTAATGATATTTTTTAGCTGGAATTTGGCATTTGCGGCTTCAGCGGGTAGGCGGTTCCATGGGTTTATAGCCC